CCACTGGACCACCAGTCCCAAACTTTGACTTTTAATGGAAGCATTTAATCCATTTACATTTTTAAAAATTACTTATATATTAAAGTTTAAATCTGCCATATTATGTGGAATTTCAATTTTGTATCTTCTATTTTCTCTGGTTTTGTCTTATTTAAACTTTTCAGTTTGACTAATTTTAGATTTACAGAATGATTATATAAAGACAGTAAAAGAGTTCCTATATACCCACACCTGGTTTCCCCTATTATTATCATCTTACATTAGTATAGGACATTTTTACAATTAATGAACCACTACTGATAAAATTATTAACTTAAAGTCTATACTTTATTCAGATTTATTTGTTTTACTTAATATCCTTTTACTGTTCCAGGGTTCTATCCTGGAACATTATGGCATTAGACATTACATTTACTCCTTTCTCCTAAGGCTTCTCTTGGCTGTAACGATTTTTCAGCTTTTCTTTGTTTTTGATGACCTTGCACAGTGTTCAGGAGTCCTGGGTAGATATTTTGTAGAATGTGCCCAGTTGTAACTTGTTTGTTTTTCTCATGATTAGACTAAGGTTATAAGTTTGGAGGAGGAAGAGAACAGAGGTAAAATGTAGCTTTCCTCACATCATCTCAAGACTACTTACTAACCTGCCTTATCACTGACCGTGATCACCTGACTAAAGCAGTGTTCCCCAACTCTAATGCTCCCCATCCCACCCCTTTCCACACTGTTCTCTATTAGGTAGGCATGTGCAGCCCACAGGTGAGGAATGGGTATTCTGTTCCTCTCCTTGAGGACAGAACATTTACATACGTTGTTTGTAATTTTTCTACACAGGTTTGTGTCTTCTCACTCATTTACTCATTCAATTATTTATTTGTATCAGTACAGATTCAAGAGCATTTATTTTATACTTATTTATTTTGTTGCTTAAATTGTTCTAGCTTTGGCCATTGGGAGCTCTTGCAGTTGGCTCTTGTGTCCCTTTGGCATGCACCCATCATTATACTTTTTTTTTCCCTTTTATTCTTTTTTTTCCTTTTTATTATGACTAAAGATTATTACGTTTCAGAATTTCCCTTAGTGTGAGACTGCTGGTGGTGGAATGTTTTTGTTTGTCTGAAAATATCTTTGTTTTATTTTCATTTTTTGAAAGATGTTTTCTCTGGGCTCCTACCTTCTTTAAACATAGGGAAGATGCATTTCACTCTTCTGCCTTGCAGTTTTGCAGTTGAGATGTAAGCAGTTGTCTGTTGTTCCTTTGAGGATAAACCATCTTTATTCCTTAGTTTCTTTAGGATGTTTTCTTTTTGCTTTCCTTTTTTTGCAGAGTTTAAGTCATTGGGTTTCCTGAATCTGTGAATTGATGGCTTTCATCAATTGTAGATAATTCTGACATTACTTCTTCAGATTGCTTTTTTCCATTTCTCTCCTCTCCTTGGACTCCAATTAAACATAATTTAGCCCAACTTCCTGCCTCTTCTGTATTTTCCATCCTTATTTTTCAAGTTTCATTCTGTTTCTATAATCTACCAATTCTCTCCTCAGCTATGTCTAGTCTGCTATTAAACCCATCTACTGAGACCTTAATTTCATTTATTTTATTTTTCTAGCTAAAATTTCTATTTGGTTCTTTTCCAATTGTGCTATGTCTGTTTGTGTAGTTTCAGGTATCTGCTCAAATTTCCAAGCCTTGCTTTTATCTTAACTGCTATACATTTATTTCTGCATAACTCCAGTACATGGAATTGTCTAATTATTGTTTCATTTCCTTTTAAGGGTGTCATTTCAGGTTTGCTTTCTTCAGGCTCTTGACTAATTCTCATTGTGGTTGATGTTATATTTGAAAAATTATTAATTTTAATACTTTTGAGGTCTAGATTGGTGTTAAGTTCCTTGAGATTTCTGCTTGCTTCTCCCAATCATCTGGAGATGCTACACATATGGATCATCTTATTCCAAGTTCGAGACTTGAGAGTCTCTGGACCACCAAAAATGGTGGGACACCAGGCTGCAGAATACAACTGGTTTCCTTCTGATTCATCCTTAGGGGTTCCTAGTCTGGGTGGATCTTTACCAGCATCCCTATATTTAGCTATCCGATTCTGATTTTTTTCTTCCTCTAGCTCTCATCCTTCAAGGCCCTCAAAAGCATAGCTCAGCCTCTCAGAAGCCATTTCCCAATTGGAAAAGCCCCCTGGGCAAAGGCAGCCCTGGAGTCTTCTTTTCTCTCTGGATTCCCAGTCAATCTTCGTTAGTCCTTTGATTTTTGATACTTTTCATATTTAAAATTTCTGAGGGCTGGTCTGAAACATCCAGCCTACCATTATTAGAAGTGGAGCCTCCCACTCACTTTATTCCAGATATCACATAACTCTAGCCCATAACCTGACTATACAAAACTGTATAAAACATATGAAGACTTCCTTAGGCTCACACTGATTAGTTGTAGAGCAGGGATTTCCAGCTGGCACTAGCAGTAAAGAATCCACCTCCCAAGGCAGGAGACATGGAGACATGGGTTCGATCCCTAGGTCGGGAAGATCCCCTGGAGGAGGGCATAGCAACCCATTCCAGTATTCTTGCCTGGAGAATCCCCATGGACAGAGGAGCCTGGTGGGCTACCATCCATAGGGTCACAGAGTAAGACACGACTGGAGACTTAGCAGCAGCAGCAGTCGTAGAACTTTTAGCCTCAGAGCTTAAGACTAATTAATAACTGCTAAACTCCCCTTACATAAAATCTGGATGTAAGGGTTTGTTTTGACCTTTTTACCTGGGGTAAGGAGAGGATAGTCTTGCCAAAGGATCAGAGGATGAATGCAAGGACTTAGCCATATTCCTAGCACTTTTCATACATTCCTCTCCCAGCCCTGGCTTATGGGAGTGGTGGGTGGGGTGAGATCTGATAACTTATATGGTTTGGCAATCACGAATGGAAGAGAATGATCCTTTCCATTCCTAAACCACAGATTACAGATAGCTGTGATCAGTTATCCCTTTACCTTCAGTGATTCTGAACACTTTGTTTCAAATATTTGGTTGTGTTAGGTCTTAGTTGCAGCATGCGGGACTTTGCTTGCGTCACGTGGAGACCTTTTGCTGTGTCACTCTAGAATGAGCAGGCTTCAGTAGTTGTGGAGCACGTGGGCTGTTGCCTGCAGCATGTGGGATCTTAGTTCCCCAACCAGGGATGGAACCCGCTTCCTCTGCATTGTAAGGCAGATTCTTAACCACTGGTCTAGATACGGCTTTACAAAAACCCTCTAAAACCAAGAAGTGTCTTCAGCCAGCCTCCTCTACCCCAGGAAACAAACACCAAGACACCCTCACAACAAAGACCATATCATTTATTTACAAAGGCCTGTGTGGGAGTTGGGGGAGGTAGGGAGGGAAAGCCATACAGACATCCTCTCTGGATTGCTTGGGACCCTTTCCCACTTGGGAGAAAATTCAGTTCCTCTTGCCTCCGTATTCTCAGTAATGGGTCCTCCAAGCAGCTGGGCTAAGTAGCAGAGAGAGGAGGTGATTTTGAGCCTCCTCTGTGCTCCACTAGAGTAAAGTCCAATTCCAGATCAAAGGCATCATTGCTGCCCTCTCCTTTCCTTCCTCAAATAGAACTCTCTGGCCTGGAGGGAAACAGTGAAAACTCAAGGGCAGGAGCAGCCAGGGGTTCTAGAGAGAAAGACTCATCCCCCACTATCCCCCGAAAGCAATGAGAGGAGGGGTAATTAAGGGTGCCGGTCACAGCCCTGACAGCTTCAGAAGGGGTACCCACACTACCCAGGCATCCAGAGGCCTAGGGGACCTAGCTCTCCAGGGTGTATATATTCCTTTCCTAGACAGGCCCTTCTGCGTATTTCTGTCTGGTGGGATAAAACTCTAAACCAGAAATCAGTAAGGTATCCACCCTCCCACTCAACTCACATGCACATGTGTGCGTGCATGCATTCATGCACCCACCCACCCACACACATCCCCACTGCTGAGACAGACCCCAGTCCTCTTCATGTCTTCTGAGCAGGGCTTAAATCACTGGTACCTGGAGATGCAGGCAGGTCCTGGGTTCATGGAAATGTGTGTGAATGTATAGAAGCATGTGTGTTTGAGAAAATGGAACCAATATAATCCGTTGTGAGCCATACTACTTAGCTTCACTGAACCCTTTTCTTCAACTCAAATTTCATTACCATCTATAAGTCTCCTTTGCCAGGCCAAAGCCTGGACTCTGTGGACTAAAAGAACTATTAGTGTTTCCATTCCCTGTCAATTCCAACTTCCAAGTCCTCTGCTTAGGCTGTTTCCCCCATTCCCTTCCTCTAGGAAGTCTCACTCCCTCATCCCCTTATTGGGCTGGTCCAGGGTTTGTTAACTCCTGCTCCAGGGGGCTGCATCTCACGTCTCCCTTCAGACAGGGGGAACAAGCATCTTCCTTCCACTGGGAGTCCCAACAGACCCCATGAAAGTGATCAGAACAGGGGGTGAGGAGGAAAATCACAGCCTGCTTCACCTGCCCCTCCTTCAGAGGATGGAAGTCTAGCACTGGGTAGGTTGGAGGTGGGAGGGGATGAGGGGAAAGAGAGGAGGAAGAGTTACCAAAAATAAACATAAGACAAGAAAAATCCTAGTGGTAGAGACAGAAGACCCTGTTCTAATAAAGCAGAGAGTGGGTTCCTCCTTCAACTCTGCACTGCCACTGAGAAGTGTGAAGGCTGCAAAAGACAGTTGTGGGGTAAGCAGGTGGGGCCAATCAACAAAAACTGAAAACTGTTTAAATAGCTCTATTCAATCAGGCAGGACCAGGAGAGAAGGTTCTACAAGAGGTGAAGTAAGACTGGAATTCTCAGAGCCAGGGGGCTGGGGCCCACCCCTCTAAAGTCACCCTGCAGTCTGGAGAGAACAAGGGAGGAGAACAGAGGGATGACAAGCTGCAGAGGGTCAGGCTGACAGAGGAACCACACGCTGGCATCAAGGGAAGGGAGACGCAAGAGGCCCGGGCTGAGGGATCAGGAGAGCTGAGAGCCCAGGAGTCGCTCAATAGCTGCGTTGATGTCCCCTCCCGTAGCAATTAGAGCCTGCAGGTTGGCCTCACGATTGATGAAGCCCATGGAGTTGAGCTGCTCCAGCTGCTGCTGAAATCTCACTTCTGGCGTCTGCACCTGGAGGGGACAAGCCTTGTGAAGTGGGCTCAGGACCAACCCCAGAGGGCCTAGCTGATTCTGAGGGTTTTTGATGGAGAGATGAAGTCCTCCTCAGAGTTAACCAATGGGGCAGGGGTCAATAACCAGCAAACAGAGGCCAGCGGCGCCGGCGTCCCAAATCACTAAACAGCTGTGTCATCATAAGGTGGGGGGCATCTTTCTTGAAATTTCAAAGTAACAAATAGGTCTAGATTAGCTGATATTCCTAACTGCTTTCCATCAGCACTCTGGAGATGTTAATAGGCAGTCCAAAAGCCAAATGTTCTGTGGTCAGTAAATACTGCCTCCAAACCTGCTCCTGGCAACTGGCACACACACAGCCACATTAAAGGTCAGAGAAGGGCCTCTGGAAAACACGAACCTGTTTAATTGTGTTTAACCATCAACAAAGTTATTTACAAAAGAGGAGGCTTTTCATTTCTGACACTCCAAAACACATCTGGAAATGTTTTCCCCAAGGGATGTTCAGGAAGCCATAGCCTAGATCACAAACAGAAGACTCAGGGTTGGAAGGAGCCCAGCAATCAGAGCCCCCAGCCCGCAGCACAGGAGCCCTTTCCCACTCTGGGGTGTTTTCATCACGATCCACCCACACTGGGCTCCAGATCCAGCTGGACTGGGCCTTGGAGAGCCCTTCATCCAGCCCTCCCAGTGCCTTGCACAGAGCTGGGCACACTTCCATTTCTGTTGAAAGGCTTTCCCCAGATGTCACAGAGGTCGGAGAAAGGTTAAGGGGCTTACCCGAGGTAATCCCCTGCTCTGTCCCCAAGCCCCAGGCCTAGACTTTGTAGCCCAGGGCTCTGGTCACCTCTCCTCCCAGAATCCTCTTCTCCCGTCTCATAGACAGAGGCTGCTTTATTTATTTTTTTGTTTTGGCTGCACCACATAGCATATGGGATCTTAGTTCCCTGACCAGGGATAGAACCCGTGCCCCCTGCAGTGGAAATGTGGAGTCTTAAACCACTGGACTGCCAGAGGAGTCCCAAATAGAGGCTGCTTTAATTATGAAAAGAGTCCTCTGATACAGTAGAAGTAGTAAAACACAGTGGTTAAAGTGTAAATTTTGGAGCCAATATGCCTCGGTTTGAATTTTAGTTTCATTACCTCTTACTCACTGTGTGACTCTGAGAAAGCCACTTAACCTCTCTGGGATTTAGTTTCCCCCTTTTGTAACACAGAAGGAGTAAGAACAAGGCGGCTGTGAAGAATAAAGGAAGTGAGCTCTTACGTACAAGGCACATAGACCAGTACTCAGCTGACCCAGTAAGTGCTGTTACTATGCTCATCTCCAGGTCACAGCTGTGGAAACTAAACTTGTGGAAGATCAGTTACTTACTTAAGGCTAGAAAGTAGCAGACCAGGAATGAGAGCCAGGGCTGGCTGACTCCACAGCCTGCTCCTTCCATTTGATCGCCACCCTTGCTACTGCAGGGCCCTAGCACCAGTCCCGCTGCCCTGCGTACCTGTGAACTTCCGCTTCCAGCCAAAAGCTGGATCATCTGCTGCATGAGCTGCTGCTGAGTGCTGGAGGCCCCTGCTGGAGATGATGTGACTGGGAGGGTGGGCGAGGAGGTGGGCGCCTCGGGCGCAGACCCGGCGTTGCTGCCTGCCGAGGATGCTGGGGGCCGGGCCATCCCAAAAGAGCCAAGGCTGCAGGCAGGAGAGACCAAGGAGGGGGAGATGGCCTCTGAGAAAAGGGTGGGAATGTGAGATCCCACAGGAAAAGCAGTTGCAAGAAACAGGAAAACAGATCCTCAGGGACATAAGGGCTGCTGAGAGCAGCAGGAAAAGGGCTTGAGGGGGAGGAGGAGCCAGACCCCTGTTGCCCACTTGGCCCCACCCCTCACCTGGGTACCAGCCCTGGGGCTTCGGTCTGCAAGGTCTGCAGTCCCTGCTGGATCTGCAGCAGCGCCTGCATGGCTCGGGGATTGGTGAGAATGGAGAGTGACTCTGGGTTCTGCATCTGGTGGGAAACAACACGGAAAGGCGACAGGAGGTGGCGGGAGACAGGAGGTGGCCTAGACCCCGAGTCCAGAGCCCAGTGCAGCCCCTCCCTTAAGCTCCACCCACTGGGCCTCTGGGTCTACCCGGGTGGCCCTCAACCCCCACCCGTCCAGGCTCCTCACTTACCTGCTGCAGGAAGACCGGGAGCTGCAGGCGGAGCTGCTCCTGCAGCTGGGGGTTCCCCGCAAAGAGCGGCACGTTCACCATCATCTGCCAGGGTGAAGGTAGCAGGGGGAGGCCTGGGCCTATCCACCCTCACAATGTCCCCACTGCCTCATCTCCCTCAGCACCCCACCACTGTAGGAAACCGGGCCAGCTTTTCCAAGGATCTCAGAGTATCCTGAAGTCCTAGGTGGGACAGTGAGAGGAACTGGAACTATACTCTGGACAGGGACCAGAGTCAGAAGCCAGTCTGATGAGGATGATAATAGCGAACATTTCTGAGTACACAGGGCTTACTCTGTGCCAGGCCATGTGCTAAGCACTTTATGTTATTAACTCACTTAACCCTCACAACTCCAAGGCAGGTACTATTGTTAATACCATTTTACCCATGAGGAAACTGGGGATAAATAACTTGTCTGGCTCATGCAGCTAGGAAGCGGCAGAGCTCAATACAGAAACCCAGGCAGTCTGGCTCTGGAGCATTTTGATCATCACAAGTCACAGCCCCCAGCACACTCCCTCTCATGCCAGTTCCATACCTGAGCAGCAAAGTCGGGGTTCTGGGCAAGCGTTTGCATCATGCTGCGCATGTAGGGGGCTGAGATCACGTTCTGCATCAGCTGGGGGTTCTCAGAGATCTGCTGGAGGAGGGCCTGCATTTCTGGGCTGTTGAACATCCCTAGGATAGGAAGGGAAAAAAACAAACAAAACAAGAGGAAAGGGGTCCAAATGGAAACCAGATGCCTCACTTCAATCTACCTTACTTCAGGCACTGAGTGGTCACAAAACCCAGAAAGGCAACAGTGGGCACCCAAGTGCTAGGGAGTGGGTCCAAGTCTCTCTTGACTCTGAGGTCATCTTGCCCTTCTTTGGGCTGGCTCCTTTACCATCTGCTCTGCTATGATCAAGCCGGTTACAAACTGGGTCTGATTCTTATCCCTCTGTTCCTGCCACAGGTCAGATAACATTAGAGTTGGAAAGGATTTGACTAAAGATGACCCAGATCAATGGTTTTCAAACTTGTCCTAGCAACAGAGACCCTTTCCTCAAACCAAATCTCACTTGGAAACCAAGTATGTCAACAGTCTGGCTGGAGCTGGGGCAGAAGGCCTGGAGCCTTTCCCATATGGTCTTTCCTCATCTTGGCGATGGTCCAGACCCCTCAAGCCTCAGAAGTATAATTCTGAAACCATGGATCAGGTTCAAGTCCCTTATTTATGAAATAAGCATATAGATGGGAAGGGACTTTCCCGACCAAGATATTCCCCAGAGTACAGAGAATTCATGGCATCTACCAGACATCCCCAGGGCCATTTATAGTCATAGTCTTGATAAATGGGGCATCTCCCAGGGTTGTGCAGTACATAACCTACGCTTCTGTACAAGGCAGCTCTGCGCATCCCTCTCGCCCAGCCTCACATCTACCTGTCCCTCATTCTTCTCACACACCCTCATCCCCAGTCTAACCCATTTACACTGGATAATACCAGCAGAGTTGAAAGAGCTTAGAAAGTGGGGCCTGGTTTACTCATGAGCCTTTACTTAGGTTGCTCTTGGGGACATTGGGACAGGGCTAGAACCCAGCCTCACCCTCTGAGGGGTGAAGCCACTACTCTAGGCCACAGAGCCCCGCCAGTGGCTTCAATAGTCTCACCTCTGTCTTCAATATTCTGGAGCAGTGTGAACCCCCTTCAGTCCTGGGGCAGAGGGACTGCCCTGGTGACCCCACTCAGCTCCTTCCACCCTAGGACATACCTGACCCCAGGCTAGCCGCATTGATCCCAAAGGGATTGGAGACTGTCGGGTGCACCTGGCTGGTCCCCGATCCTCCGTTGCCCTCCCCACCGGACCCGGGGGCCTGGGAGGTGGGGGGCGAGGGGCTCCAGGGGTTAGGGAGGGGCTCTCGATTCTCAGTCCGCAGAGGCTGGGAGGATGAGCTGTCGGAGTTCCCGGCCAGGGAAGAGAAGGGGTTGTTGCCAAACTGGGAGGAGGGAAAGGTTTTGGGTTAAGGACTGAAACAAATCAGGGAGAAGGGCTAGGCCCTTTCTTTCTTCTCACCTAATAGCCTCCCCGTCCCCAGGAAAGGGAGAGAGATCTAAAACTGTGGAGGTCCTCATGTCAATTTCTGGCCTCACAATGGGCAACTTCACCCTCACCCTGCAAGTTGGGAGTTGGCTGATGCTAATGACTGGATAACTGGACCCCTCAGATAACCGGAAACATCTCCATCTCCCCTGGCGGCTCAAAATATTTGGTTTCTAATCTTCTCTGCGCTACAGTACTTTTCACACACCTTTCCTACTGTGCAGCGGAGATACTTGTTTTCCTGAGCTCTTAAGGGGCAGAGACAATGTCAGATTCACCTTTGCACTCCTGGCCCCCGACACTAGTAGGTGCTCAATAGGTAACTATTGGCTTGATGGGAGCTGACTCTACTCCAACCCCTATCTGCCTTCAGCTCTCCCTTTTCCAGCCACCTCCATCCAAGTCTAACTCCACTGAACCTTCTTCCTTACCCCCGATCCCCCATGTGGCATTCTGTCCATCCAGGCACATCACAGTGGAGCCCCTTAGAGGGGCACACCTCTGGCTGAACACCCTTCCCTAGGTCTTCTCCTCCTCTGTTGCTTCCTCCATGTAATCTCTTCTTTCTCCTCTCCACCCCTATCTTCTTAGACTAGCTGCTTCAGCTAAACAGTCCCCCTTAGCACCAGGCCCTCTAGGATGTTACCCAGGATCGTCTCAGGGTCTGCACCCCACATGATGATGCGCTGCCTAAGGTGGCACCCGAACCTCCTCCCTCTGGGCCCGCTGAGAGCCAGGAAAGAGCTCTGTCTGAGGCATGTGATGGCTGAGGGAGCCCAGGCCTCCTCCCCTTGCTCAGCCTCCCTCTCCTGTTCCCAGGTAGGCCTTACCCATGCAGGAGGTACCTGAGCAGCCTCAGCCCCACCACACCAAGGAGTTTCATATCCAGTTACTTTTCCTGTTTATTCAAACAGGGGACCAGCTCCTGCTCTGAGTTGTGGTTCCTTTGCCCTACCAGATGCCTGTTCAGATAATAGGGTTTGCAGGCCAGGGATCATGTACCTCAGTTTCAGTCTTTGTCATCATTGCAGATTTCCTGTTCTGGTAACTCGCCTAGCAGCCAACCCCACCTAGTTCTGGGTCCTGCTTTGCTCTTCCCTTACACCCTAAGTCCTAAATCTCTTTGCCAGAACTCCCCAAAGTGGTAACAACTGCCATTTATTGAGCACCTACTATGTGCCCGACCCATTCATTCTAATGCTTATAATATCCCTCTAATACACCAGTTCTCAAAGTGTGGTCCTAGGACCTCTGCAAGGTCTGAAAACAATTTTTATAACCCTAAGACATTATTTGCCTTTTTCACACTCATTCTCTCATAAGTATTCAGGGGTATTTTCCAAAGGCTACATAACATGTGACAATGCAATGGACTGAATGCAGAAGCAGATCTGCATACATAAGGCAGATACATAAGCCAGACGTTCAAGAGATCTGCAAAGATGTCAAACAAGGCCATTCTTTCCTCTAAAGTTTTGTTTTGGGAAATAAAGTTATTTTTTAAGAGTATGCTGGTTATGTTAATGTGCAATGGGTTTATTGTTATTTTTAAATGAGTTCATAAATATTTCTTTAAATTCTCAGTTTTAATTTCAGATTCAGTGAATATCAATAGACCTAACCCACAAAAACAAAACCTCCTTGGGGTGCTAACTATATAAAGGGGTCCAGAGTGGAATTCCCTAGTAATCTAGTGGTTAGGTCTCCATGCTTCCACTGCAAGGGGTGCAGGTTTAATCCCAGGTGAGGGAACTAAGATCCCACATGCTGGGCAGTAAGGCAAAAAAAAATTTTTCTTAATAAATAAATAAGGGATCCAGAGACCGAAATGATTGAGGACTACGCTATAATACATTGTCTCCATTTTGAAAATGAGGCAGCAGAAGACTCAGAGAGGCTTAAGCAACTCACTTAAAATCACGCCACTAGAGAATGGTGGAGCAGGTATTTGAATGCAGGCCTGTTGTTGCCAAACACTGTGTTCTTTTAGCTGAGCCAGGGGTTCTCACACCTTAAAGCACAGCAGAATTAGCTGAGGGCTTGTTATAAGCCTTGCTCAACTACTTGAATTTTTTTTAACCACGTATATGCATTACTTTGATATGCATTTTAAATTAAATACTTAAGTAAAATAAAACTTAAATAAACTAAAAACCCACAGATAATCTTCATAAGCACTTTCTTTCAATTCCTATAAGCACTTTCTAAAATTTGAAAGAGCAATGCCAATAATCATCAAGATGACAGTGAAGAATAAGCTGCAGGGGGGAGGGGCGAGTCACCCTGATGCCCAGGGTTAATTAAGACGAGGTGGTATCGTCACAGGGACAGAGCCAGCAAGGCACACACTAAGGAATCTGCCTGCAGCACAGGAGACCTGGGTTTGATCCCTGGGTCTGGAAGATCCTCTGGAGGAAGGCATGGCAACCAACTCCAGTATTCTCGCCTGGAGAATCCCATGGACAGAGGACCCTGGCAGGTTACAGTCCATGAGGCCACAAAGAGTCAGACACAACTGAGTGCCTAACATGACTACTAGCGATGCCATGAACAAGAAATCTGTTGGGATAGCACGGACTGCTCAGGACATGGTGCTTTTTCCTTTCCACAAGGAAAAAGCAATGTGAGGTCCCACTCTCCTACCTGGGTGCTGGTTGTGGGGGCAGGCTGTTCAGTTTGTGAAAATCCATCAAGCTGAACACTTAGGATATGTGCACCTTTCTGTAGCTATATTATTCTTCAAATGAAACAATTTTAGATGTTTTTAAAAAGCAAGTCTAAAATTATACAAACAGCATACCACTTCTATAAGGTTGAAAAAATATGCAAAATGATGCCACAGATTATTTATGGATACATACATAGGTAATAAAAGAATCAAAATGACAAACACCAACTTCAGGGTGGTAGTTAGCCTGAAGAGGGAAAGAGAGGTATAAGTTGGGGGAGGGGTATGTGAAGGCTGCAATTCTATGTGTCATATCTTATTTGCTAATGTTAAATATATCTAGGAAAACACACAAAATACTAAAAACATCCATTAATTCCAGGGTAGAAAAGAGAAGGCCGGGAGATGGAAATAGAAGGATCCCTTTTGTATACTTTTATTAAGCTTGTATACCTTTCCACACTTTTTAAATATCCTTTTGTTTACTTTGTATAACTTCTGAGTTTTGAAACAGGTAAATGCATAATGTATTTAGTGTAAATTAAACTTTAATATGAGAGAATGCTATACTTTTTGTATACTTGGAAAAAATTCACAAAGCATTTTTGAAAGCACATATTCCCAAGGCTTAATTCCAGAGATTGATTCAATAAGTATCTCAAAGATAGGAACCAGGAATCTCATGACTGACAAGCACCCCAGGTGCTTCGGACGCAGGTGATCTGTGGACCACACTTGAGACACGCTGTGGAAGGGTGGGCTCTTTGACCTCAGGCCTGCCCCACAACCTTGGAGCCCTTGGCGCAAGAAGTCTGTCAGAACAATGTCAGAGCCCTTGGATACTACACTGCCCCCACTCCCTAAGGACCTCTGCTATCTTCTGCCCTAGTGCTTCAGTCCCATGCCGAGGTGGACCAGCCCTGGCTATGCGCCGTGAGAACCGCCTTCAAGCCAAGGCCTACCCTCAGGGCACTAGGGAAGGAAAGAGGAGCAGAGTGCACCTCAGGCTTGCCTGGGTCTGGGGTGGGTGATCCCGAGTTCAGACTGCCCTCCCACAGCCCAGCCCCTGGCCCCACCTGCTCCCTGGCAGCACTAAACATGGGCTCCTGGATGTCCGTGTACATGCGACGGAGGGCATTATACCCTCCAGGGATGCTCTCCAGGTTGCTTAGGGCCCGGTCCTGGTTCCGCATCATCTCTTGCATCATGGCTGGATTTCGAGCAAGCTCCATTGTCTGGCGGAAAAGGGAAAGAGAGAGAATGGCTCTGGAATCAGGGGGTCACCAAGCTTGAAAAAGAGTGGGCCTTGAAGAGGGGGACCAGGACTAGGGTCCAGGGCCCAGGAACCGACCCAGAGTGGCTGTGAGGAGGGTGAACTGGATTTCCTTGCTCTAGTGTCATCTTGGCTCCGACCCTGCCTCTCTGTGGGCATTCTGGTTGACTTTTGAGGGTACAGTGATCCCAGATGGGGTGAGGGCAGCAGCTTTCCTCCCTCAGGTTCAGGGGATCTGCAGAAGTATCAGGGAACACAAGGAAGTTAAATAAGAAAGGACATGAGAGGGACTTCCCTTGTGGTCCAGTGGCTAAGACTCCAAGCTCCCAATTCAGGGGGCCCTGGGTTCGATCTCTGCTCAGGGAGCTAGATCCCACATGTCACAACTAAAGATCCTGCATGAAGACCCAGCACAGCCAAATAAATAAACTAAATAAATATTAAAAGAAAGAAAGAAAGGACATGAGAAAGGGAGAAAGCAAAAGAGAAAATTAACATCTATTGAACAGTTACTACATATAGGCACTGAGCTAAGTAATTTATAGAATTCAAGTCACTTAATCTCCATGATAACTATCCTAAGTATGTATTTCTGTTATTTAGCAGATAAGAAAATAGGCTCAGAGACTCACTGCCTAGGACCCACAGTCAGTTAGCGGTGGAGACACAGAGTTCAAGGCCAGGTTGGTCTGTCTGACCAAGACTGGATTACGGCTTCTGATAAATGACCACAAATTGGTGGCGGGAAAGGATTCAAGCCGGGACGATGCTACCAACACCTTCTGGACCCCACTATAGGTCTTTAGCCTCACTGAATCTTGAGAAATAGGATGAGGGCTTTCACTTGGGAGCCAATGTCTCACTCTCAATAACGAGGGGACAGTAGCACATAACACAGAAAATGAGCATAGCGGCTTCTTGTTCCCATCCATTGGAAAGCTTTCCCCGTCCTTCTTCCTAAATCTGCTGCATACAGGCCTCTTCTAAGACACTTTTATGTCTATGATAAGCCTCTGATCTCTTATTCCACAAGTCATTCATTTACTAAGTACTTATTGAGTGGTAACTATACACCAGGCACTGTTCTAGGCGTGAACAAAACAGTTGCAAATACTTGCCCTTCTGGGACTTACCTTCTGGTGAGTCTAGCACTCGTGTCCACAATTCTGCTAAGATCATCTACCCTCGTCCCCTAATGGGTGGCCACGAGATGGAGCCCCCGAAGACCAACACCAAACCCCCTTGCCTGGGTCTTCTTTACCAACCTAACCCTCCCTTATCCACCTGGCCCTGCCAAGCCACAAAGGTCTCCAATCCTATTTTTCATTCCCAGGCCTTTGTGCTTGCTGTCCCTTAGCCCTGAATACTCTTCTCTTTTTTTTCCTCTGGTTCATTCTCCTCTTTTGGGTCTCTGCTTGGGCAACACTTCCTTTATGGCCCCCTCTGAGCCCCAGGGTAGGGTCAGGAGCCCTTCTGCGTGCTCCTAAGGGGTCCTGTGACCATCTCTATGATACTACTATCCATGCTGTACTATAAAAGCCTTCTTCCTTGTCCTACTTCCCTTTGAGACCAGAAGATCCTGGGGGGCTTCCCTGGTGGTCCAGTGGTTAAGAACCCGCCTGCCAATGGAAAGGACACGGGTTCGATCCCTGGTCTGGGAATATCCCACGTGCCATGGAGCAACTAAGCCTGTACACCACTACTACTGAGCCTGAGCTCTAGAGCCCAAGAGCAGTAACTACCAAGCCCACGAGCTGCAACTACTGAAGCCCATGTGCCCTAGAGCCCGTACTCTGCAACAAGAGAAGCCACCACAATGAGAAGGCCACAACAAAGAGTAGCCCCCACTCGCAGCAACTAGAGAAAGCCCACGCAGCAACAAAGACCCAGCACAGCCAAAAAGGAATAAATAAATAAAACAAATCTAAAAAAAAAAAAGAAGTAGTTCCCGGAGAGCTAGGCCTATGTCTTTTCATCACTGTACCCCCAGTGCTCAAAACATGGCTGTTGAATGAATGAATGAACAAATCAATGTAGGACAAGGTAGGAAAAGGCAAGACAGGGCACAGCTGGGTGCCCGGGGTCCTCCACGCCCCCCCAACCTTCTCTCAGACCCACCTGCCTCATGAGCTCAGGGTTGTTGAGCATGTGACTGATCTCAGGGTTCCGTTCCATCAGCTGCTGCATCTGGGGGTTGGCCATGATCATGTGGCGCATCAGGTCAGGGTTAGACATCATGTCCTGGACCAGGGGGTTCTCCATGATCTGCGACAGCATCTCAGGATTGGACATCAGCTGCCTCTGCATCTGCTGCTGCAGCTCCATGAAGTTGGCAGAGCCCAAGCCCAGGCTGCCCAAGCCCAGGATGCCCCCAAAGCCAGCTGTGGGGGAGGGAAGCGGGGTCACACTTTGTCCCGACTCTTCTACCTGGCCAGAGCCACTGAAATCAAGTCACCAGGATGGGCCCTTTCTGCGGCTCACATCTCCCTTTCCTAATCATTTCCACAGCCCCAGTCCTGATCTGTTGCTGGCAGAGAGATGGGAGCCTACTAGACCGAGACCTCTTTGATGGCCGAGGCTAACAGGCAGGCACGGTACTGAACACAGAGAGGGCAATCAGCGACAGCCTCCTGAATGAGCAAATAAATATTCTCCAACTGGCTACTGTTGGACCCACCTTTTCCCCAAACTCCAATACCCTCTCCCAGGGTTTTCTACATCCCCAGCCCCATTTCTCCCTTCACTCTTAACATTTCACCACGCTCCCCTCTTCTGGGAAGCCCTCACAGATTGGTTTCCTCCCCCACTTGGCTCAAGCACCAGTGTCTGGAACCCTATGTTCAGGGGCCCCAATCCCCATCAGATCAGGAGCAGGGATCAATATTCCCCTCTTCTTGGCCTCTCTCCCACTCTACAGACTATAACCGTGTGGTGCCTTCCTCCCTAAAGGCTTACAGAGTATGGATGCAGTGGCACTGGGAGGTCCCTCCCCAGTCCCTGGGGAGGTACCCCCTCCACTGCTCCTTCGGCTTCCACTGCCTGTATCTGAAGTGGCACTTCCAGAAGTGGAGGGCTGGGCAGACGTGGCGGGTGAAGCAGGGGTGGTGGAGGGGGCTGAGGCTGGGTCTGGGGTGGAAGGGGAAGAAGCAGTGGCAGTCGCTGGATCTTGAACCCTGAGAAAGAAAGAAAAATCCTCACTGAAGTGGACACAAAAGGGAAGACCATGATTTCTACATGTGCTGTGCAGCTCCAGCCCTACACCACGCCACCTCCAAGGTAACCCTGAGGCTGGAGCAGGGTGACGCCGGGGGCAGTCAGGAAATCGGACAGAGGGAGAAAGGAGTCAGCATCCTCCATCTCCAGGTCATTTAGGGCGAGGTAAGTCAGGTTCCCTGGCCCTGCAGATCCGATCACAGGGCCTTCTAGCAGCCCGTCGAAGAGCCACCTTCCTGGGTCTTGGCATTCCACGGACCTTCCACAGATGTATGCTTGAATCATGGGCTAGAAAGTGTCAGATGGGGAAAAACAAAGAAAGCCCAATCTGAAGCTGGACCTGCTCCTCTCCTGAACTTACTTCTGAGGGGTCTTGATGACCAGATGAACAGTGAGCCCATCCTTGATCCCATGCTGGTTCAGTGTGTCCCCATCCTTGAGGATCTTGCCTGCGAAGATCAGGACCAGCTGATCCTGCTGTGCCTTAAATCTCCGGGAGATTTCCTCTTTAAACTGTGATCAAGAGGCAAAGGTCACTGTGGAGGCTGCTTGGGCTCCACCAACCAGGGACCCTGCCTCTCCTTCAAAGCTTCTGCATTCCCTTGCTCCCACCTCTAGTTGTGGGAAGTCCTTTCAGCAGTCTTGACTCCATCCCTCCAGCTGAAATTAGGCAGCTCCTTTCTTAACCAAGGGAGCTGGACCAGTGTGGGGCTCCTCTCAGCACTACTCCAGGGTCTCTCACCCTCCCAAGCCCTGCTTTTATCTGCCACTCCCTCTTCAGTCCCAAGTTCCCCCTGAGGGTACCACCTGGGCAGTTCTCTCCGGAAACTCCTTGGCCCAATCCTGTCTCCCTTGAGCCTGTCTCCCCAGACTTCAAGTCTCTTTTCTCTCTTTATTCCCAGTTTTCTTGTAACAACTACAACAAATAAGTCCCAGTTATTTATAACAGCACTAACTATACATGTTAATTATTACCTCCATTTCAGAGACCAGAAAACTGAGGATTCGAGAAGTTAGATAACTGGCCCTGGACAAACTGGAACTCAGGTCTTGACATCAAAGCCCAGGCTCCTCTTAACCAAACACACGGTGCGGGGTGGGAGTGGGGGGAAGCTCTCAATTAGAGCTGATTTCAAATTCAGCTTTGCGGGCAAAAATTATTTAAATTATGGAATGTGATCATTTTATAAGGTCGGGGGGAGGGGCAATGATGGCAATAAAGGCTGGCTGGGGAGAGTTAGACTCCCCAAACCTATCACACACACCGTCCCCGCCCCCCATCAACCCAAGCAAATCAAACACATACTCTTAAGTAGAGGGTGCACTTGCTATGCAAAGGCAGCTTCCAGACCCCTCCCTTCCAACCAGACGCCTATCTTAAGCCCCGCCTCTGTGAAATTCGGGAGCAGCCACAGGGGGGTGGTGAACACAGGCAATATTCCTTCATTCACTCATTCACCACATTTTACTAAGCACCTACTGCACACTGTGTAAATCCCAGAGGGGCTGAGAATCAAAAGTATCCACTTTAATTTGAAAGAGTAGGAAAGATCCGGGCAGAGGGAAATCCTCCCCGCACAGACCAGGCGTCAGAATTCTGGGCGTTCTCTGAGGCGCCCAGTAGGCGCCCAGAGTTCCCCCCGACCTGCGCCCCGCCGCCCGCTCTCCGGGCTCAGCACCTGGCCCGGCCCCCACTCTGCCTCTGCGCCTCGAACCCCGACCAGTAACCGGGGCCAACACTCCCCTCAAACCTAGGGTCCTCCCCGCTTCCCAGTGCAAGGTGTCCTCTTCCCACTCTCCACCACGCCCCCAGCTCAGGCCACAAGGCAATCCCCGGCCTCCCTTCCCCAACACGCGCCGCGCTCCCCCAGATCACCCTCGCAGGGTGCCCCCTACCCGCCTGCCCTTCCCTCCCGCTCCTCCGAGTGCCTGAGGGGCCCCCGCCCTCCACTCCCCGGCCCTCCCGCACGCCCGACGGTCTCAGAGCCACCCGCCTCTTCGCAGACCCCTCCTCCGCGCTCACCGCCACCCCCGCCACCCGTACTACCTCTTTGACCGAGGCTCGGTCGCAGATCACAATTTCCTCCTTGTCCTTGGGGGTCTTCACGGTGACCCGAATGGGGGGCCTCGTCTCGGCCCCGCTCGGCTCCGCCATGCCACCGCCGCCACCCGGCCGCCCGCCAGCCCGCCCCGGCTCCTCCTCCTCCTCCCCGCCCGCCCGGCCGGCCGGGCTCGGCTCCGGCGCCTCCAACACTGCCCTGTCCCCTCCCCTCCCCAAGGCTTCACCGCCCCCTCCGGACCCGCCACGGCCACAGCGCCCCGGGCGGACTGGGGGGGCCACTGCAGCGGGGTCCGCCCAGGGCCGAGCCCGGGGTCCGGCTGCTTGGACCGGGCCTCGCCGGGCTGCGGCCCCCGGAGGGGTTCGGGGCGGGGGCGGGGCGTGTCCGTCACTGCGGGGCGGGGGCCGAACTGCCCGCGAGAGACCACAGCCCGATGCAGCCCGCCGGAGCCGAGCCGAGGTGCCCCCTGGGCCCAAAGCTGCCCCCGCCCCTCCGCGGTTAACTCCAGCTTCGGGACAAAGGACTTTCTGTGTCGCCGCTTTATCTCCGTTCCCTGTGATAACTGGCCTTTCTCCAGAAGCCCAAATCCTTTCCAGGCCTGAGACCTATCCCGACTTTCAGGTTGAATTTTTTTACTTCTGGATGTCCACCTAAAACCTCGTCTCTGGGACTGACTTTATTTCCCTGCGAGTAGTGGCTTGAACGAAGTCTACAAAGTACAGTTCCAGAGACCTCAATTTTGCCTGCGCGGCCTTTCTGAACCTTGCTTTCCTCAATACTTTCTCTCGCCTCATCTCACCTAACTGTATAATGTAGAAAACTGCTTTGAAAAGTAACCAAAGGTGTGCCTGAAAAATATAGGGATTTTACTTTCTTTTTAATTACTGAATCGTGACTTGTCATGCGGATATGACTTTCCTCTGCCCGAGGGGATTAAATGTCCTTCCAATACTGCCACTGTCCTTTCACTCCCGCTCTTTTCCCGCATAACCGCGTGGTCGCACTGGAAAGGCGAACTATAGTTCCCAGGGTGCCTCGCGAAGCCGCGGAGAACTACAATTCCCAGCGTTCACCGCTGTGGGGCAGGGTGGAGTCGGAACCACAAAATCAGGCCCGGAAACTACAACTCCCAGGGCGTTCCGGAGCAAGGCAGCTGAACTACGGAAAGCGACTGGCGGAGGCCAGCAATAGGAAACTCTGGGTTCTGGGTGCAAAAACCCAGGGTTAGGAGCCTCAGGCATGCTGCGTCCCAAGGCTTTGACCCAGGTGCTAAGCCAGGCCAACACTGGAGGTGTTCAGAGCACCCTGTGAGTGCGGACCGAGAAGCCGGGTGGCGAGCACTGGCGTGGGGCCGCGCGCGACTCTCCGAGGGAGGGCTGGGGAAGGCTCTCTGGGAAGGGAGGAGGTGGCAGAGGGGGCAGCAACTTGGTGAAAATGACGGAGAGCCCCTCTTGAAAAGGAAACCGACGTGCTGCGTGCTCTGAGCACGTCCCAGGACACACTCAGTCCCAGTGGCGGGAATTGGGATGGGTACCGAGGAGTTTAACTCCCTCTTGAGCACGTTGATATCCCTTCTGATTCTTCACCAGGCTGCTGAATAACGAGGGATCTCTGTTGGCCTACTCCGGCTATGGGGATACAGACGCCCGGGTCACCGCGGCCATCGCCAGTAACATCTGGGCGGCCTACGACCGGAATGGAAACCAAGCGTTTAATGAAGACAATCTCAAATTCATCCTCATGGACTGCATGGTATGAAGAAGGGATCCATTCCTCTGACCCTAAGGGAATCCCAAAGGGCAACCTGGATCCCATCCTGGATGGTTTAGAGGGCCAGGGACAGGATGTCTGGAAGACAGTACTAAGAGTTGGTCTGCAACAGCATTTATGATAGGCAGGACCCTATGTATTGATGAGAAAGGAGTCCTCGAACCGAGGTCTGGCCGGGGTTCTGGTTTTAGCACTGGTGAAACGTTGGGTAAGTGATTTAACCTCTTTGAGCTTTCTGACCACACCTCCAAGGTGAAAACAATCCCCTCCACCACACCATGCACACAGGGTTATTCTGATCAAAGGAGAGGGTGAATATAAACTGTAGAGCCATGTGCAGACACAAAGTGTTGTCATCTGAGATTAACAGACCCAGAAGCATGGCAGAGTCTCTAGACCCTGCTGTCCATTCACTTTACAGAGAAAGGTCATGAAGTCCAGAAAGGGGAAGTGGCTATTAGACTGTGAACTTCTTGGAAACAGAAACTGGCTCATACATCTTTATATCTGTCCAGTCAACATATTTTTAGGTCCCTGCAATGTTCTCAGGTCTTGGGGAAAAGTAGGAAACAGGACAGACAAAAGCTGCCACCCTAATGAAGCTTACAGTCTTACATATGAACTTACTGTAAAATAAGTTCATGAATATGTTTTGTAACATATCTATGTAAGTTTAAAAAGTAGTATGTTAGGTAAAGAAAATGCTAGGGGAAGACTTCCCTGGTGATCCCATGGTTGGGACCTGGTGCTTTCACTGCAGGGGACCCCGGGTTTGACCCCTGGTCAGGGAACAAAGATCCTGCAAGCCATGTGGTGTTACCAAAAAAATAAAATAAAATAATGTAAAAATTAGAAGAAGATGCTATTGAGAAAAAGCAAGGATGTAAGATAGGATGTGTGTATCGGGGACAACGTCGCTGAAAAGGTGACACCTCATCAAAGATCCATCTAAAGGAAGCTGGTAAGCCATGTGGCTATCTGGGTTAAGAACATTTCTGATAGAACAGTAAATGCAAAGGCCCTGAGGCAGAATGATGTCTGGTCAGAGATAACAAGGTTGAAGTGACTAGAGTGGCATGAGAATGGGAGAGGTTAGTAGATGATGCCAGAGAGGCAGAGGGTGCAACACCTGATTCCAAGCACAGGGTGGATACTTAGTGAAAATTTGCTGAACCAAATTGAAAAGGCCCCAAGAGTGAATTCTCCTGGAAGGATTTCCACTGCAACTCAGCCACCTACCTCTTCCTGACTCCCTCCTTAACCACAGATGCCAGTTCAACTGATGATTCTTAGGGTCCCTAGCCTAGAGCTGGTGCATAAGCGCAATAGCTTTCAAATGTCTTGACCACAACCCAGCCATAAGAAATATGTTTTCACCAAAAAAAAAAAAAAAAGAAATATGTTTTCAGTCAGAGTCTAGTAAAACAAAAGTTTCATGAAATAGTACTTCCTTTGCTGTATGCAATACACTTTATTTCTCTTTTAATGCTGATCAACCTTGTTAATTGATGTGGGGCTAGTTAGCCCTGGGCCAAACCTACAGTTTGAAAAATACTACCTTGGGAAACGAGAACTATAAGTTGAGTTGTGGTCTCCCCTTACAGTGTCATTGGGGGTGAAACCATATTAATAACATCACCCATCTGGACAGCCCTTTGTAGACACCGGACTCCTTTCTGTGTATTAGCATCCTCACCAACTGGAGAGAGGTAGGGATTACAGAAAGAGAAACAGTTTCTGGGAGGTGGAGTTTCCTTGGGTAACTGGGTTAGTAGGTGACTGTGCTGAGGCTGGAATGGGCTCAGGACTTCAGGTTCAGGGCTGTGGCTAAAGTCCCCCAGTGGAAGCTCCTGCCCTGCCTAGGGCATGAAAGGAAGATACAGACCATCTCAAGAGGAGCCCTTGGGAAAGAAGGGGCAAAGGGTGCAAGCAGATATCACATCCCCTGATATCACCCCCACCAGGAGGGCCGTGTAGCCATCACGAGAGTGGCCAACCTTCTACTGTGCATGTATGCCAAGGAGACCGTTGGCTTCGGAATGCTCAAGGCCAAGGTGTGTATGTGCCCATTCTTGTACAACCCTGGGCTCAGCCTTCATGCTCCATCACTGTATCCACTCCCATCCCCACCATCTTCCCAGAGTCTTTCTCATGTCACACAGGCAGCAGCTGGGGGCTGGGGGCTCAGCGGTAGGAGTAGACCTGAATTTAAGATCCCTCGAGTGGCAGGCCTTGTGGGACTGGATTCTTCTCCCTTTCCCACAGGCCCAGGCCTTGGTGCAGTATTTGGAGGAGCCTCTCACCCAAGTAGCAGCATCATAATGGGCGCTGGTGGAACCTGGGATTCAGAAGAGTGAGATGACCATGTGGTGGGGCAGGGCTCCCTGGGGAAACCTTCCTGGACTGTTGCAGGGGGTTGGAGTGGGGGGACTTTGTTCTTCCCAAGAATAAACTTCAACTGCTGTCTCATGTCTTGGCTGTTTTCTTGGATGGGGGGAATCAGAGGAGAGAGGAAGGAGCCGGGATTGTGCATCATGTTCTTCACGTTCAGCTAGGATGAACAAGGGGCTGGTAGGGGTCATGTTGGACGAAGAAAGAACAGGCTGTGGGAGTTTAGTGTCCTTCAGTTCCAACTTTGGGGGGCCCCTTTTCTACTCTTGGGATTGGGAGTGTGCCCCCTAGTGGCCTACAAGGGCCACCCCTTCCCTCTTTGGGCATTCACAAGCTTACGCAGACCCCTCTCCAGATCAGGAAGTCCTTTGCACACACAAGGTATCTGCCCTGAAGCTTCAGGTCCTGGGGAAAGAGTAGAAAAAATTAAGAAGTCCTGGCCCAACAGTCAGACCCATCCCTGCACCTGGCTGTTTCTGCCCCAGTTCTCCCCCTATCCGGTGTCCTTAGAACAAGGCTGGATCTTTCCCAGTGCTGTAGGAAGGGACTCATCCCAGGGAAGCTGGTAGGTTGCAAGGCCCAGCTCCACCCAGGTTGAGAAACCGCCCAACCCACGTCCTGGGCTGTCAGGGAGGGGCAGAAGTTGCTGCATCCAAGATGCCCCTCCCAGAGCTCTGCCCTGCAGTGGGGTGACCCCAGCCCTTCCCCCCACAGCCCTTCCTCTGGTGCCCCCAGTTACCTGTCCTACTAGGCTCCAAGGACTAGCAGAAGGCTGTGTAGTTTCTTGCTCCCTGAGGGACCATTTCTCACTCACTAGTGGCCGGGCCCCCCCAGCCACAGGTCCCAGGAGCCTAGCAACACACACTAGCCCTCAGCTGGCTCTCTGAAGGTCCTGTCCCTGTCCTAGCTGCGCCCGATGTCGCTCCCTTGAGCCTGCTGCCTGCTTGCCAGAGCCCAGGCTGAGAGCAGACACCCAACCTGTCTAACCTGTCTGACGTCATCATCTCCACCCACCTGGGCTCTCTGTTTCCAGCCGCTCACTCTTCCTGTTCTCAGCTTCCGTCCTCTCCGATTCCTAACAGCTCTGCCACCTGCCAGAACTGAGGCTCCCTAGGCCCTGGCTAGCCTAAAGCCGGCCCTTGATCCCTCTCACTGCAGAAGTCTCTTTACTCTCAATGAGAGAAAGGGCGGATCCAGGTGTCTTGAGAGCTGAGGGTTGAGGGCATTGAGCCAACGCGTAGACCCTTCACCTCTACCCTCGAAGACACTTGTGCCCTCCATGCGGAGCCAAGATGGGGAACAGAGCCGAGGAAGATTATAACTTTGTCTTCAAGGGTGAGTCTGGGGTCCATAAAGAAAGAGGAACACCTGAGAGACCCAGGAAGAGAACAACAGAGCCAGAGGGCTCCTTCCTGTTTTTGAATCAATTAGCAGGGCCCCCTCCCAGGGCTCATCATTCCTTCAGATCTGAAAGAAAGCTTAAGGAGTGGGGGAGGGTGTTTACCAGAGCAAAAGTCCTGGAGCTGCCAGAATGCTCTAGGGAAGTAAATAATGTTGATCACTCCTTAATGGTGCAAGTCAGGCTCTTCTGCCCCATTCCTAATGGAAGCCCCAGTCCCTAGGAAGAGTTAGCCACTGCAGCATTAGCAATGGAGGTGAGACTTCAGAGAGGATTCCCTCCTGAGAAGGAGGGACAAGCAGACTTAAGAGGGAGAAAGTCACCTTTCTGGGCAGCTGTACAGGAAAGGAGAGATGGGAAGATCTATACCATCACAGGGCTGGAGGAAGACACAGGGAAGATGTTATGAATCAGGACCAGGGTCTAATAGAATCTGGAGAACTCCCAGCACTGTAGCCTTGTCGGTCTGTCCCTTGGCAGACCCTCTGGGCTCAAATACCAGGAACTGGGTTTAACCAGGCTATCCCTGGAAGTTTGCATGTATCTTTCTAGCTCCTTTATCTCGCTCCTGTGTTTAGCCAGTCTAGCGTTCCCTACCCCCACCTCCGCACCTCCTTCAGGGCAGGGTGGACTGGCAGCGCTATGATTCCCTGTCCAGCCACTCCACCCTCCCAGCCTCAGCCCTGCCCTCACTTGAGCTGGGACTCTCAGGAGACCAGGGCTTGGGAAACCTGTACTCCCAGCAATTTTCCCAGGAAGGGAGACAGGTGAGGGGTCACAGTAGACTGGGGCAATACTGAGTTCAGATCTCAGCCCCGCCACTTACGAGTTATTGTAATTTAGGGTCACTAGAAGCAGACCCGGAGACATTTGGGGTGTGAGCTGTTTATTGTGGCTCAACAGCAGTGAAAGGAAGAGGGAGGATACAGGATCGGGCAGAGGGAGAAGTCGCACTGCAAGGCCTCAACCAAGGGCGAGCAGCTCTGGGTTTCCCCTGTCCTTGCCAGGGCACTGGGTGTGGCTGCCAGGGAAAGGCATGAGCCTGGGTGAGGCGCCTCGACATCAGAAGCAGATGCTGAGGGAGCAACAGCTGCAGGCTGGGTGCTGCCTGCACTCCCTGCAGCAGGGGGCAAGTCCTCCCTGGAAGGCCCCTGTGGGCAGCACAGCTCCTGCTTACCACGCTGGCTGCGTTACCTTGTGCAAGTCATTGAACGCCCGCCCCCTGTAAACGGGTGAGTCTAACAGTGGTACTTGCCTTGTGGCATTGTTGTGAGGACTAAATGAGTTCAGACGTTCAGGAGGGTACCAGGCATACTGTAGGTGCTCAATAAACGTGAACCATTAGTATCTCCATTTTTCAGAGGAGGATGAGACACAGAACAAGGGTCGCCCAGTCAGTACTCAAACCCGTCTGTTTGACTCCAAAGCCCTGGCTCAGAGTCCACCTAGTGGGAGGGATGAAATGGGGATGCGGTTCCCAGTAGCAGACACACACACACACTCATGTGCATAAATCCTCTTACCTATACACATCCATACAGCTCCCAGCTCTTCCCTACCCTACACAAATAAGGAATTTTTGAAGTTGGAGTGAGTTTTGTAGATTTTATAAACAGGGAAACTGGGACCCAGAAAAGATGAGCCACTTGTTCAGGGTCACATAGCTAGTCAGAGGCTGAGTGGGGACCAGTGCCCAGATTATGCAGTGCCCAGTCCTGATGCACCAGCCCGCCTTTCCAGAACCACCCTGGGTAGCTCTGGGCCAGTGGATTATGGGTTATATTTAACATCAGCCCCTACATTTTAATGCCAGCCCCTAGCTCACTCACAGCAGCAGCAGCAGCTCACTCACAGTGCGTAAGGCTGGGCCCTGGATCCTGCCCTTCAACCCAAAGGATCTTCATGGCCCCTCCGGTGTATCCTTGTCTGTGAAAACCTAAAGATAAAAGCACCAGCCTACCAACAACAATGGGCTTCCCAGGCGGCTCGGTGGGTAAAGAATCCACCTGCAATGTAGGAGACACAGGAGACCCAGGTTCTATCCTTGGGTCAGGAAGACCCCCTGGAGGAGGGCATGGCTACCCACTCTAGTATTCTTGCCTGGAGAATCCCATGGACAGAGGAGCCTGGCAAGGTACAGTCCATGGGGTCACAAAGACTGAGTGACGAACGCTTTCACTTTTCACCAACAACAATAATAACAGTAACAGTTTTGCACACTCACTATATCCAGGGCAATATCTTGTTTACTTCTTGCAACAACTCATAGATAAAATTGTTATTCCCATTTTTTTCATAAGAAAGAGAATAGTACGTTGCTGAAGGCATGCATAACTGGTCCCACATCCAGTTCCATGGTCTTAAGCATACAAGACTGCCCTTCTTAGGGATAACGGGATCCTAATTTCTTGCACACATACCCCCATACCTTTCCCCCACCCCCAGATGTGTCAGCTGCCAAACTTTCTCCTCACCCATATTGCTATTCCCACCTCTGCTCCCCTCACAAACACATACAAACTGCCTACCTCTCCTTCCAGCTTGTATACATAGAAACGCGCACATGTTCTCATGTTCTCTTGCCCAGAAATGTGCACCCTCCCCACAGACCCCCTACCCTCCCTGTTACCTCACAACCCTTGAACGCCACTATCCACAAACAGCCCATAGACATCACTCTCTCACCAAATTCATGGGCTGATTCTGCCGCCATGTTGCAACAGGCCAGGCCTAGAACACTCGAAGCCCCTCAGCCTGCTTCAGGCTCTCATCCCTTCTGCCCCAGGGTGGGTGCATCATGTAGAGTTGGAGACCCTTGTCTCTGCCAGGTTTCCTGTGGCGCTGATAGTAAAGAACCCACCTGCCAATGCAGGAGACTTAAGAGACGCAGGTTAGATCCCTGGATCAGGAAGATCCCCTGGAGGAGGACATGGCAACCCACTCCAATACTCTTGCCTGGAGAATCCCATGGACAGAGGAGCCTGGCGGTCTACAGCCCATGGGGTCGCAAAGAGTAGGACGCGACTGGGCATGCATGCATGGCTCTGCCAGGAGGCCTGAGCCCCTCCTCAGTTTTCTGAGCTACTCGTCTTTTCTGATGGGCAGACCCTCCAAGTTCAGTCCTTATCTCTCCACCCCTTCAGTGGTGCTGATCGGCGAGTCAGGAGTGGGGAAGACCAACCTGCTGTCCCGATTCACTCGCAATGAGTTCAGCCACGACAGCCGCACCACCATCGGGGTTGAGTTCTCCACCCGCACTGTCATGCTGGGCACCGCTGCTATCAAGGCCCAGATCTGGGACACGGCTGGCCTGGAGCGGTACCGAGCCATCACGTCGGCGTGAGCCCCGGGCTGGGGGTGTACTGGGGTGCTGGGGAAGTCAGGGTATACCACTGGAGGAGAAGTGGAGGAAGAGGAGGCAAGGAGACTCAGCAGGGCGTCCCCTGAATGGGGCTGCGGGGCTTGGGTGAGAAGACACGAGTACTCTGAGCTACGAACAGTCTGAGACGGGAAGCAATGATACTGACTGCTGGGACTGAAAACAAGAGTCATCACCACCACTTACTTGTCTTTACTATGTGCCAGGGAAGGTAGAAGACACTTTACATTGGGCATTTTATGTACTCCTCCAAATGCCACAGGAATAAGGTGCTATCACTAATCCCTCTTTAGATATAAGAAGTTTGTGTTTCAAGCAGGTGAGATTGGGGTGCAGCTGTGATGGGGACATACTCTAGGATCAAGAGCACCCGCCCTCACTTCTGCAGTGCTTTGCACTTGGCAACCTTCACTATCTAACTGCAAGGTGAAAGGCTGGACCCCATAACCACATTTTACAAACCTCAGAGGACACAGAGGAACATAAGTCTCTTGATACTGGGCACAGAGTGTCTCCCAGGCAGTGTCAGCCAAAGGTGGTGTGTGTGCTTGTGCATGTGTGTGTGTGTGGGGGGGGGGGGGCAGCACCTGCAAGGGGGCAGGAAGCAGGAGTTGGGGGCTTTGTGGCTTTGTTTATACATATTCATCACTCTTGGACTGGTCTCTTGACTCTTACAAGCCTCAGCTGACTCATCGATACAATGGGAATAACTTTATACCACCAGTCTGAAGAAGCGCTATCAAACTTCCAAGAGTGAGACTGGATGCTTAGTAAGGGTGCCTCCGATGATCAGGGAGATTCAGCTAGTTCTAGAACGATGGCCATGAGAGGGAAGCGCTGGGGGTCAAGGAGCTATGTGGGGGACATTTGGGGTGTTGGGCATCCAGGAAGCTAGTTTGACCAGAGCCCTGGTATACATCCGTGGATAGCTGTGGCTAACATCAGAAAAAAGACCAGAGGCTGCAGAGGGGTTAGGAGGGAGGAGGGAGCCAGTGGTTTTGGAGAAGGGAGGTGAGTCTTCACAGACTCCAAGACCAGTATCCTTGGAGGGCGTTCAGCATCAGACATGGGAGCTCTGGGCTGCCCTGTGTGGTTTGGGTCTCTGGACTGTAATCTTCATATTTTCCTGTCTCTGGTGCTCATCTCTGGCCTTTGGCCTAAGAGCTCTGCTCTGAGGTTGGGCTTGATGGCCCTGACCTTGTGTCTGTCCACCCACTGACCCCCTACCCAGGTACTATCGTGGTGCTGTGGGAGCCCTCCTGGTGTTTGACCTAACCAAGCACCAGACTTACGCCGTGGTGGAGCGCTGGCTGAAGGAGCTCTACGACCATGCCGAGGCCACAATCGTCGTCATGCTTGTTGGTAACAAAAGTGACCTCAGCCAGTCCCGGGAGGTGCCCACTGAGGAAGCCCGCATGTTTGCTGGTGAGAGCCCACCACATCCCAGCCTGGCCCCTCCGGCTGCTCTGCCAGTGTAATCCCAGCCCCTGCTCCCACTGTAGGGCTCGGGCCTGCACTTCCTGCCCAGGGTCCCCCTACCTCCATTCTGTCGGCCTCAGAACCTCCAAGCCCTTCCCCTCAGTGACCCTGTGTCCCTCGTTATGTCCCACCCCATTTGCCCTGTCTTTATGGGTAAGCGTTCATAGTTGGTTTTAAGGCAGCCCACATTGCCACTCTCAGAGATCCTAAGTGTGGCAGATGGGCTTCCCTTGCCTGTCTCCTGTCACACTCCCCAGGAGCTTTCTGGGGTTTAGGGGCAGCAGGATACAGTGGTTAAGGGTGTAGGCTGTGGGGGTCCCATGGCCTAGCCCACGTCTCTTGGTGAGTGACTAGATGTGGGACACAAAGCAAGTTCTTTGTTCGTTCTCTCTGTTTTTGGGCTACAGTTTCCTCTTCTAAAAGAAAGGAATGGTATTCCAACCTACCTTCCAGTTTGTTTTAAGGTTTAAATGAGCTACACATGCCAAGGGTTTAGCGTGTAACGAACGTGCATGGTAAAATGTGAAGTAAATATTATTGTCTTGACCCTTCACAACTAATGGTGTGTTTCCTTTCTGTCAGAAAACAATGGGCTGCTCTTCTTGGAGACCTCGGCCCTGGACTCCACCAACGTTGAGCTGGCCTTTGAAACTGTCCTCAAAGGTAGAGTCCCTGCCTCCATTCAGCAGGCACCGCCATCCCACCCCTGAGGCTTCCGCGGGCAGTGGGAGGAACGCAGACACCCAGCCCTCGCCCGCGCCAGCCGATTCCTCATCCCCTCTGTGGGCCCCCCCGGCCTCCTCAGAGCCTCCCTCATACACCCCAGCTGGAGCTTAGGGAAAGAACCAGGAGGCCACACTCCCAGGGAGCTGAGTCTTAGTCCCGCTCCGCCCACGTAAGTAGACGGGACCCAGGTGCCCAAACTCCTTCCTTCCAGCAAAACCCCCAGTGTTCAGAAAGGGGCATGCAGAGTGTGTATGGGGAGGGTGGGCTCCTAATCTTCATCTGACCCGATCACCGCCCTCTGCCCTCACAGAGATCTTCGCCAAGGTGTCCAAGCAGAAGCAGAACAACACCCGGACCAATGCCGTCACCCTGGGCGGTGGCCCGGCTGGGCAGGAGCTGGGTCCTGGGGAGAAGAGGGCCTGTTGCATCAGCCTCTGACCTGCCCCCACTGTGTTCCGGTGCCCCCCGAGCCCTGCCCAGCTCTAGGAGCTTTCTCTGCCCTGTTGGTCCAGATGTCAGAGTGGCCAGTCCCTGTTCACAGCCCTGCAGAGCTCTAAGGTCTTCATGTGGCCCTCCCCACCCCCAGACCTCTATTATCGGTCACCCCCGCCCCCCCACCAGAGACTACGGCCCTCCAATAAAGCTGTGTTTTATATCAAGCCTGACCATCCTGCTGCCTCCCCTGCATCTCTGGGCCCTCCTCTGAGTCCTTGTTCCCCTTCCCCTCCCCTCATCCTCCCCACCATATTCACTGCCCCCCAGGGCCAGCTGTCTCTGGAGTCTTGTGGTCTGGGGACAGTGCCAAGGGGGTGGGAGGTGCCCGCCCTTCCCTCTGCCAACCCCCAGGGCAGGTGGAAGAGGGAGGACAGCATGGCAGAGAGGGGGTATCTGGAAGGAGAGACAAAGGAAACCATCAGCGGGTACCATCTGGTGCCCTGGGCCCTGGTGCCAAGAGCTGAGGTCACTCCAATGCCAGGGGTGAGGGGAGGAGGCAGGGGGAGATGTTTAAGAAAAGGGGGAGTCAGGGCCAGCCCAGTCTGTGTGTGCTGGGAAGGGATTTTAAGCCTGGGAGGTGGAAGGCCTGTCTTCCATCCAGGTTTCTGCTTGACCCTGAAGAGAAGATGTGGTGTGTAGGGATGGATTGAATCTGGTGCGGATTGATGGGAGGGTCGAGCTCTCAGCTCTGCCCTTTCTCCATCAAGTTCAGAAGCTGGCTTTCCAGGCAAGGTCTAGGTGGACCTGCCTGGCCTTCCCCTGTTCTGCAAGGCAGGGTCGAATGAGGTCTCCTGGTGCCCCAAGAACAGGAGGTAAATGGAGAGAAAAGAGGGGTTGAGTACTTGGAGACCCAAGTAGGGAGCTGTGGAGAGCAGATAGGAGCCATCCACTTCATGCAAGGTGAGCAAGGTCGCCCAGAATGACATTAGAGAAAACCCCACTCACCCTACGGTGGTTCCCACCAACATGCCAAGAAAGCAGCCTGAGCCTTAAGTAATAATACTTTTAATAAAATTAAGTTCTTAATAGCACATTTAATACATTAACCCTCCCCCTTCTTGGTTTCTCTGCATTTTGTGCAACATCACTTTGACTTGATTATTCATGGGTCCGTTTTGTTTCCCGCCTTTATTTTGCTTTTGAAATGGTTTTCCTGGTGGACTTGTAACGTGTCTTCACTAGATGCCTCAAATTAAGTCTGACCACAATCCTACTCTACTTCTACAGTGGAGAGACCATTCCCCCTGCCCCAGGGCTGTCTCCCCCCACCCACCCTACCCCACCCGCACCCTCGAGCAGGGAAGAGGAAGCCCTCCCCAACCCAGACGCTACCTTCCCAAACTAGCGGGGTTCCTAGGACAAAAAGAGCAGGGGAAAAGTCTGTCCCTGGGTGGGGTGAGAAGAGTAAATTGGGGAGGAGATATGTTTGGGGTCTAGGGCCAGGGAGGGGCATGACAGAGTCATTAGGGTCATGGAACTTCTTGCCAAGAGTCAAGAGGCCTCTACACCCCCTTGGACAGGCGCGAGGGTGGGGGGACCAACCTGATTACAAGCTGGGGTTGGTAGAAGGCAAGTGCTTAAAAAATGAGTTGATTTCTCACAAGCAAAAGCCAAGCTCCCCAGCTTTCTGTGGGGAGGGTCAGGGTACAGCAGATGACCTCTACCTGAACTCTTACAGATGGCAGTCCACTAAAACAGATGGTTAGGGTAGGGGTCACCCAAAGTCCCTGCTGCACCCCCCGACTTTGTACCCTTAGGGGCCAGCTCTCCCAGGCCTACAAGGACAGTTGTCTCCATTCCACCCCAGTGGATGGCAAGTCCTTGGTATCTAACAGATAATAAAGCACTTCTGCAAATTTGTAAAGCACAGTGCATCTTCAAAGGAGACTGATTATTGAGATCATTCTTCTACCTGCTGCCATGGAGGTCAGAAGCTAAGTGAATATTGGGTAGGAATAAAAATGGGGGACAGATACCCTCCAGTCCCCTTGAAGCTCTGAGAAAGTAAGAAGTGTGTGCGTGTGTCTGTTGGTGGAATGACCTACCAGGCTCTTGAATTAATCAGAGGTAGAGTGGATTGCAGTTATACTTCAGGAAGGACTTCCTCAGTTAAGCCTGGGAGAAGCTGTCCCTAGAAGGTTGAAGCTGGGCAGTCTTCCTCCTCTCAGAAAGCCCCAAGAGGACATGTTTGGAATAAGGGCTGCCCAGAGACAGGGAGCCAACCATGATTTCCCACCTCAGCTGTCCCTAGCCCAGCCCTCCTCTGGTTGAAATGATCAGTGTTCATGCTTTCAAAGACCCTGGGAACTGAGCCCCTCATCTATTTGTCCTATAATTTAAAAATCCAAGGATTCTTAGAATCAACCCCAGCAGACTGGAAGGAAGCTCCCAACCATAACTAGCAACCTGCTCCACCCTGATATCTGAAGATGGGGTGGGGGGGGCTCAGGGTGGACTCAGCCACTTCCCTCCTCTATTTTCCTTTTCATTATGACTTTTATACATTCTACTGGACCCAGGGGCCCTCAATGCTACTAAACTTTAAGCTATCTGAATATCGTCTACTAAGTAACTAGTAATTCTTTCTCTTTGTCTCTAGGATTATATGAAATAAATTTGAATTATTATTATTATTAATTATTATTATTTTGTAGTATTCTTTTCTTTTAAACCCCTCGGTTTTTCTTCTCTCTCATTTTTGGTTAAAAAAAAAAACAAACAAAAAACTATCTCTCTTAAATCTCACACCTCTCTGAGGGTTCCCATAGGCCTGCTAGGCCTCAGTTCTGGACTTCCCCACCTTACTTGCCCCTGGGACTGGACAGGGGAAGCGAGTGGGGGGACACCCCAGGATCCTCAGTCCTACTGCTTCTTCCTTTCTCCTTAATCCCTTTCTTTGTGTGGCTCTGCCGGCTCCCCCAAAGGGGAGGGGGAGAGGGAGGGGGAGCCATGGGGATGAAATCCAATCTACTTGCAGGGCCCCAGAGGGACCAGGTTCCCCTAGCCCCTGTCTCCACAAGCCATCCCAGGATGCTCCCCCGGAAAAGCAAACATTCCTCCCCAAAAAAATGTGGGGGAAAAAAGGAACGTAAACCAGAACATATATTAAAAACACTTTTTTAAGATTTAACTCTGAATACAAATGTATTTTTTTTTCTTCTTCTCTCCCTACATATATTCTAAACCTTCTAAAGTTTTTTTATTTTTTTAAGGATCACTTTATCATAAAATAAAATATCCTTTTCATATAATAAATTACCTAATAAAAAGTCTTTTTTTTTTTCATATTAGCCCAGGTTCTTTGCTACATTTATACGGTAATAAATGCCTTTATTAAAATAGAATATTAAATTATAAAGAACTGCTTTTTTTTTTTCTATTTTTGTTTTCTCTCCTGTGTTGGTTGCCTATCTCGCTCCCTCTCATGCTCTCTTTCTCTCCTCTATTTTGTCTCTCACTGTGTTTTGCGTTGGTTTCTAGGTTTGGCTCAATCAGGAAGAGTGGGATTGTATTTTCTGAGCCCCCTAGCGTAACAGTCTTCCGCCTTTGTGGGTAGGTGGAGGGGGGAGGGGACCGACAGACAGACATCCCATCTTCCCACCCCCCACCCCCCCTCGGCGACCGAGGGGTGCCCATTTGGTTTGGTTTCTAATGTACAGACATCTCAGGATGGCTCACATTGGCGGGAAGGAGGGAAGTTGTCACAGGCCAGTTTTCCTGGCTGTGACCTCCTTCCGCTCCCCTCCCTGGCTGGTGGTCTGGAGGGGGAGGCTGAGGAGAGGTGAGTTAATTCACAACAGGAGGAAGGAGAGGAGGAAATCCCCTCTGTGCCCCCATCCCTGCACCCCCTCTCCATCCAGGAAGAATGGGACTCCCGAGCCTCAAGGCTCAGAGATCACTTACAACAGTCCCACCCTACTATATACAAGAATCTCCCAGGACCCCCGGGGACTCCCATCCCCCATCCCCTCCTAGCCCGGCCAGCGGAACCAGGAGGGTGGGAGGCTGGTGACTGCCCCAAGTGAGCGGTAGGGAGGCAGCAAAGGGGGGTGCAAGCCCTATAATAATACATGACTCTTAGAACAGGCCCGGCTGCACCCCAATCCTGCTTGGCTCTGGAGTGACCCCTCTCTGAAGACAAGGTCTCTCCTCAGTGAGTGAGACAGAGACTTCATGATTAATTTGTTAACAAGGGTTCAGGTCAGGTCCAGAGAGGGGCGCAGGGAATGCGGCACTGCAAGGGAGGAGGAACCCTTCCTCCCTCCAGCAGCCTCTCGTCCTGCCTCTCCTGCTCCCCAAGAGCAGACACACTACCCTGGCTCACCCCCTCCCACCACCAGAAAATCCAGCCCCCAAACTGCTCCCTAAATGTAATGCCCAAAGATGATAAAGGTGGAGGTTTGACCCTTTATGTACCCCAGTATTAGTCCCCTCTTCAAATATTCACTGAGAACAGGGATACATTCTATCAAGAATTTGAGGTGTTTCTTTGGAGGAGAAAAGTGGGCCTCCGAATGACAAAGAGCAACTGAGGGGACCATCAAAATGTTTTTTCCCTCTGCCTCTCCCCAGGGGGACAGTGTCCCCAAAGCTGGGCTGGGTGGAGCAGGAAGGAGGCGAGAAGGGAAGAAAGAGGAAGAGCAAGACAAGGGCTGGTTGTGACAGCCGGCAAGGGGAAGCAGAGAGAAGAGCTGGAGGAGAGAGCAAAGGAGAGAGGAAAACCCAAAGGGATGGAGGATGGCGAGGAGAGAGTGGAGGGAAAGCGGAGGAGCACCCCTCTCCAGATTCCCCTAGCCCAGCTTTGTGGGGAGCGGCGAGTTCTGAGCCCTTCATTGATTGACATACTTCCTCCCCTTCCCCCTCAGAAAATCTATTCAGACTCCTGAAAGGGCCCCAACCCCCTCAGACTGCTGGAAGCCCAGAACAAATCCCCAAACAGAATACAAGGTGGTGGAGGGTCTAAAGGGTCGTGGTTGGAGGTCAGAGGTCAGGACCAGAGGCTTGGGGATTGTTGGAGCACCTCTAGATACAGATGGTAATTCTCCCGCTCCCGTTCCCCGTCACCTCCCTAGAGGAAGGGGTAGGGCGGGCAGGGAGTCAGGATGCCTTAGCGGCCACCTCTGGCAAAACAAAAGTTTCTCTTAGCTGCTTCCGGATTGAAGGGTGTGTTGAGGTATCAGAGTTGTAACTCTAGTAAAACTTCCGGCCTGGCCCCCCTCCCAACCTTTCCAGGACAGGGGGACCAGGGGCTCTGAAAGCGGCCCCGCCCTCCAGCCACCATCGCCTCCCCTCCCCCCTCCCCAGCAAGCGAGTATCTAAGCACCTTGCCCCTCAAATCACTGATTTGCAAAAGGCCCCAGTGGAAAACAGCTCCAGGAAGGGCCCCTGGGGAGCGGCCCCAGGAGGCCAGGGGCCAGGGGCTTAGGAAAATATTCGGATGGCTTGCGTGGCTGTGATGTGGCAGACGGGACACTCCGGGTCCGTCCTCTCACAGATGCGTACTGCACACTCCATGCAGAACAGGTTGTGTCCGCAGGGCACCAGTGCGGCAGTCACCTCACTCTCGAAGCACACCATGCAATCCCGCCCGCCGCCGGGGCTCCGCAGGCCGCCCCCCCCAAGTTTAGAGAAGCCCTGGAGCGGCTCTCCCGGCGGGCGTCTCGGGAGTCCGGCCAGCTCGGGCCCCGCGGAGGCGGCAGGAGAGCGATGCGCTCCCGGGGGCCCAGCGCGGGCCTTGGCGGAAGAGGAGGAGGAGGAAGAGGCGGAAGAGAAGAGCACCGAGGTGGGCGTGGCGTTCTCCTGGCCCGCCCAGAGCGGGGGGCTAGTCTCGGCCACTCCGTAGTACACGTCCTGCTTGCCCACGCCATAGCCAGGGAACAGGTACCCGCCATAGCCAAAGTCCCCTCCCTGCTCGCCGAGGCGCGGGGCCTCAAAGCCAGAGTCCACTCCGCACTCGCCGATGCAGCCCAGGCTGTTCTGCCGGAAGGTGGAGAGGGGCTTGCAGCCGGAAGGGTGCACCCGCCAGGCCTCAGAGTAGCGGCTATCCAGCGCGGCGTCGGGGCTCCCCGCCAGGAAGTCGTTTTCATTGTTGTACTCGAGGATCTTGCCTGTGCGGACCGCGATGTGCGTTTCGATCTCCTCGCGGGCACGCTCCACGTTCCCCGGGGCACCGGTGATCTCGAACACCGGGTCGCGGTCCCGGCTTGGCGTGATAATGTACGTGTTGGTCTGCTGCTGGATGCGTTTGATGGTTGCCCCCTTGGGGCCCACCACCAGTCCCACCACGCGATAGGGCACCCGCACACGAATTGTCACTTGGCCGGGCAGAGCAGGCGCCACTCCAAAGGCGGCGCCGGACTTGTTGCGTGAGGCGCGGATCATGGAGAAGTGCTCGGCCGCTGAGATGATTTCCCGGCGGGCTGTGGCCACGTCCTCCCGCCGCCCAGTCACCATGAACACTGGCTCCTCGCCTCGAACGGGCGTCTTGATGTAGGTGTTGGTCTTGGCCCTCAGAGCCTTAATCTTGCAGCCTGGGATAGGGATGGGAAGAGAGAAATAAACTCACAAGGCAAGAAGGTTTGTGCTGGAGCCAACAAGCTCCTGCTCCTACTCTGATGCCCAGCCCACCAGGAACCTCTGTCTACCCTTAGGGAACCCCCCCCCCAACTCTAACCAGAACAATTCACTTACTGTATCTTAAATCTATCCAATGTATCTATCAGCCACAGACTGCAAAATGTCACAACTTTCCCTTGAATTCCATATAGGACCTCCAAATTCATGCACTCTTTGAAATTCTGAAATAATCACTGACCTTCCCAGACAAGCTGCTAACCTACTCACTAACTCCTCGACAACCATTAGCTGTTTCCCCCAATTTCTCCACTGATTTCTGGCTACTCACAAACTTCCAAATCGCTCAATCACCTGCACTGCCCTGCAACTGCGATCTCCAGTCTGTCACTGACCCCAATCTTGCCTCAGAAGCCTACAGTCTACTCCTCACTTGATCTCCATGCATTAGAAGTGTCTTCCAGTCTACACTGGGACGACTGACCCACATCTGCTCCCATGCCTTCCACCCATTAGTGTCTCAGCTGGTCCCAAATTCACAGCAAGTTTTCAGCAACTCATGGAGTGTGGGAGGTCGGGAAGGGTCTGAGAATCCGTTTTAGGAAGGAAAGGAGGATAATGGTGTGTGAGGGACACAGTGCCTGACCTCATGGACACTCCTACCACCCTGTCCCCTGGCGCAGGAGAGCCAAGATGGGCTGCGGGCTGAGTTGGGTGGGGGAGAAGGTGTTCTAGACCCATACTCCTGCGCTGAAGAAGGAGAGGGTAAAAGCTGAGAGGCTGGGGAGAGAGGCAGGAAGAGAAAGGAGAATGGCCCAGACAAAGAGAGACAAAGAGGGAGAAGGGGAAGGAGAAAAGTGAGGGAGGCTGGAATGGCCAGACTGCAGTCTAAAGGTGGCGGACCTTGACGGCTGACTGGACAAACCTCTCCCCTCCTTTTCCAATTCCCTATCCCTGCCCCTATCTTCACACAGAACCTCAGAGACTCACATGTTTTCTCAAAGCACACATGCTACATGTGTGTGTTTGTACGTGCACACACAGACAGGGACCTAGGAGCCGCTATGCAGCTTACCTTTTTCTAAACGTTATTTGTGGCGCAAGTCTAATGCACACTTTCACATACCCCCCTCTCCCTTATACACATGGATTCCCTGTGTTTCATCCTTTCATCCAGCCCACTCTTCCATCCCCATCATTCCCAGGACACATGCAGCACATTCCTATACACCCCTGCCCACAACTGTTGTCCCCATTCACATTTAGACATTCATACCCGTCTCCATATACACATTCACAGTTCCCTTTCTCATTCCCCAACCAATGCCAGTGGTCCTAGTTTTCTGACTCTGCCTAACCCTCCAAGCATAGGCCTGAGGTGAGCTCATCTTTTTTTCCCTCTCCTTCCTCCACTCCAGATGGCTTCTTCTCCAAACCTACCAGATTGGCATGTGGGAGGAGAGAGTGGGTTGGGGGCAGCTCTCCTCACCTTCAAGAGACCTTAGGAAGGAGAAATTTGCTCCTCCCTTTTTGTCTTCAGACCTCTTGGCAGTTAAGAAGTCCTACCTGTTGTCAAGCCCACATCCTTGCTGCTTTAACGTCAGTAAATGATTGCTCTGTTTGGGAGGCGCGGGGGCGCGGGGGAAGGAACAGGGAAGACCCTTCTCCTAAACTTCTAATTGCATGGCATCTGATAGGCACCTGGGTTCTGGCTCTAAGTTTTGGGCCCCTAAACTTACATGAGAGCTGTTATAGGTGTCTTTGGGGACTGGAATTGGGGTGAGGAGAACAGGCCAGGTATAAAAGTAAGGAGAAAAGCTAGAGGCCTAGAGATGCAGAACTGGTAGCGGATCTGGTCCTGTGTTTCCCAACCCTGATGAAGCATCTCTTGAAGGGAAGACCCACTTAGCTTCACCTTCCTAGAGGTCAAATAGAGCAGCCTTGACACCACAACAGGAGAAGGGAGGTTAGACAAGAGAAAGGACTTCCATTTCCTTAAGGAGTGAGGGGGAGGCTTGTCTCCTCTGAATAGGAGAAATCCCCCTACTTTTATGAGAGACAGGCCCATCTGATGCGGAGGCAGAAGAGGAAAGAATGACTCCATGAAATTCCGGGGCCTCCCAAGACCACCCCCGCACCCAAGAAAAGATAACAGTGTCCCCACCTGATTCCAGGGCTCTGGGTCCCTAGTTTCTGACAACAAGAGGAAATCCAACTTTTAAAACCAGAAATCTCAAGAGATGGGGTGCCCCAGGGGGATGAGGGCTACGCCGGGGAGTGGCATCTTCCCCTCCTCCATTCTGGATCTCCCAGCAAAATCCCCCCAACCCCCCACACTTCGGGTAGACGAGGTGTGATGTGGAGTAGGGGCCCCCCTGACTTGCCTCCCCTCTTCCCCAGCCAGCAGCCGGCCTCCTCCTTCACTCCCAGCCGGAATGCAGCTCCTCTATTGTTCCCCACTGTGGGACAGCTCCTCCCCTGCTCCTCCCCCACCCCACACCTCCCCAGTCCAGCCCCCTTGCAATTTCCAAATCCCGCCCCCCCACACACACTCCCCTTTGGGAAACTGGGAGAGGGAAGGGTCCCCAGGATCCCGTCTGCTCAGTCTGGACCCTTACCAACATTTCCACCCCCACCCGCCCAGGGATGCTGGAGCAGAGGAGGGTGTGGTATCAGACACTCTACATTGGATTAATTCTGTACCCACCCCCCCCCCAACCCCGCTCCCCAACAACACACCCAGACCCATGCCCTCCACCAAATCTCCAGGTGAAGATTCCTCACCCCTCAGCACGCCCCTTCCCACCCTGTCCTACTCTCTCACTACCAGAGACCCCTCTCCAGGCCTCTGGCCCCTTGCCGTGGCCAGCCCAGAACAAAAGCCTGAGAGGGAGGAGAAGAGGTCCACACCGGGACGTGGCACTTCGTTGGAGGCACCCCTTCCAAAATCCCATAGACCATCCAACTTTGGTGTGTGGGTGACCACAGGACTCCCTCCTCCCAGCAGCCCCCCTTCCCCACCTCACCCCCAGGCTGGGACCCTCCCATGAGCCACACCCCCTTCCATTCCTACACTCAGCCCAACAAAGAGACAGATACTCAGTCTGCCTTCCCGGGCCAGGTCTCCCCCAAAGTCTGTAACTCCAGGTGGCTGGGGGTCCCAGGGGTGCCCCCTCCCCAAACCACTAGCAGATGCCATAGTTGGGGCTCCTGAGTAACTCTTTTGCACATTCGGCCAGTTTTTCCGGCTACGAGTGGAC